TCACAACCTGGTGGTGCTAAGAAACGACTGCATCAGGAAAGACTAACCTTACCAACGATTACTCCACTAAATGGGTAACTAAGGGGTGGGGCCCAAAAGCAGGAAGCAGGTCACCTCCTTCAAAGGGTATATGTTTTGTCCTTTCCCCTCTCTCCTCCACTCACCTCTCCTGTTTCTTGGCTGCCTTTAGGTAAACACCTCCTGCTACTGTACTATTCGGCCCAATAATTCTTTTCTCTGTTAGTCAACTATCTCAAGTATTGTCATACCAATGTCACAGCTAACACACACAACCTCTCATGCACAATTATCTCTCATGAACAAGCTGCCAGGAAGACCATTACGAGAACGCTGCCCTGTCACCACCTCCCAGCTGGACTCTCAAAACTTTAATTGGCTTAACCATCGTGGTTGTCAATGACTATCTCCTATGGGTCATTCCATTATGGCTCAGGAGGCAGGGTTAACTGGGCAGTGAAGGAAGCAGTAATGCTGAGATTAGAGGGAAGTACAGTTTAGTATGGGAGTCAAAAGTGTTCACAAGACACAGGCATGGGGAAGGATGAGCATTCATGGAGCAGATCACTGTCTGGGAAACAGAACCTAACATCTCTACAGCAGGGCATTTACAAACTCAACAATCTATAAATGTGTTGAACCACTAGCCAATTCTCACATCTTCACATGGCAAATTTAAGTCACTGAAGGGCCCAGAGTAAATCTGAACAATAGTCCACCTACCCAGCTTCTACTGCTTGACCCTTACCCTATATACTCAATCACAAGGAGAGCAGATGGTTAAATATTATGACAACACCCCAGCTGTATTCAGAATCATGTTAAGATAACCACTGACGTGTGTGCGCAAACCCCCTTAAGCTTACACAAACACTATGTTATCACAAGTGGTAAATTTCAAAAAGCACTCCCCTCAAAACCTAACCTCAAGATCATAAAAATTCCTTTGACTCCCCTTCCTTGACTTCCTACCCTGCAGGTTTTTTGTTTTGTTTTTTGCTATAAAAAGAAGCTTATATGGGGGCTGGAGAGATGGCTCAGAGGATAAGAGCACTCACTGGCTCCTCTTCCAGAGGTCCTGAGTTCAATTCCCAGCAACCACATGGTGGCTCACAACCATCTGTAATGAGATCTGGTGCTCTCTTCTGGCTCACAGGGATACATGCAGGCAGAATATTGCATAATAAATAAATAGATGGTGTGCGCTGCCAAAAAAAAAAAGAAGCAGCAGCTTATGGTCTCTTCTCAGGCCACACCCCAAAATGCCTGTGGCCCTAACTTGTTAGAAGTTCTGGTAGCCCGTGGTAATGGACTAAAGTTACTTCTGCTCATCTAATTTTGGTGGCCTCGGCTTCAATATTTGCACGATTCCCAGACCCAACAGTCATAAAAGCTAGAAAAGGCTACCAATGTTTAAGAGTCTACTGAGTCTTAAAAACTCCAGGACACTCATCAGCGAACACCACCAATGCACTCTGTCGTTTTCCTTCCTTGTCGGTGGCCAACTCAGCCAGCAGTTAAAACTCTGAGCACTCTGTGGCTTGCCTTCTTGCAGATTCTAGCTTCCCATTTGCGAAACGGGTACAAAGTAAATAAACAGTAGGAGCCGGGCTGTTGTAGAGCACGCCTTTAATCCAGCACTTGGGAGGCAGAGGCAGGCGGATCTCTGTGAGTTGGAGACCAGCTTGGTCTACAAGAGCTAGTTCCAGGGCATGATCCAAAGCTACAGAGAAACCTTGTCTCGAAAAACCAGAAATTGAATAAAATAAACAGCACGGGAGTGCCTGGAGCCCCAGTTACTCAGGAGGCTGAGGCAGGAAGACCGATAGAGTTCAGGAGTTCGAAACCAGCCTGGGCAACATGGAGGAAGCCAGCTTCTCAAAACAGAAACAAACTCGCCTGTCATCCCAGCACTTGGGAAATGTAAGTGGGAGGATCCAGGCATTTAAGGCCAATCTCTACGACGCACGGAGTTCGCGGCCTGCTCCCGCTATGTGAGACCCGTCTCAAGAAAACGGAGAAACAAAACGAAACAAACAAACAAAAAATTACAGACACTACTATGACAGAAACAAGGTACTCTGCATCTGAAAGCTATACACCGCCTCTCAGCGGGCCCGGGTTAACCACAACGGCTAGAGAGAACCTGCGGAATTGGGCATTCCAACTCTGGGCTAGGATCTCGATCGCTCAACTTCCGTCCTCTTCACACCAAGGACCACAAAGCGCGAGCAGAGACTGCGCCACCGTGGTCCCCGGACCTAGTCGCCGAGTCGGAAAGGCCGGCCCTGCCCAGCCCTCGGCCCGCCCGCGGCTGGGCGTCCCGGGCCCGGTAACC